GGGTAAGGGCAAGTTTGATATAGGCCCATAGTTATTTTTCTTCAGTTGGGGCTCCTTTGAGGTTTGGGGGTAACCTTTTTATCTTAAGGATGGGTGGGGGGGGTTGAAAATTCCACTGACTTGTTTAAAAAAAGTTGGCCCCCTGGGGCGAAAGGACTTTTGCTGGTTTTTTTTTTTTTTTTTTTTTTTTTTTTGGGACATGATGATGGAAATTTTTTTTGGTTTCCTGTTTGTTTTTAAGAGAATGAGGGGTGGCTTGATGAATTGTAAAAAATGATATAAAGTATTTTGGTAAATTTCCGTGAGGTGTCTTTTGCCGGTGTATTTGAGGTTCGGATTTTTTTTTTGCTAAATTTTTATCCTTTAGTGAAGGGGAAAATTTTCAGTAGGGTGGATGGGGTGGTTCCCCTTTCTTTCGGTTTAAATTTATATTTGTTTTGGGGGAGTTTTTTTTTTTTTTTTTTTTTTTTTTTTTCTTTTTAGGCCCCGGATTTCAGAGGGCGGTTTCCCCGGTCTTTTTCAAATTCCCCCTTTTTTTTTGTTAAGTCTGCTTGCTTTAAAATAAATTGTTAGGGCTTCCGTTTTATATTTGTGGAAATTTTTGATGTGTTTCCCTTTTGGGCTGTTCTCTTTTTTAAAAACCCGTCTGCTGGTATGCTTTAAACTGCATTTTGTTTGTTCCCAGGGCATCTAAGACCTTGGGCATAGTGGGCCAAATAGCTGGGACAGGCAGGGCGCCCGCTCTAAATGCATGTTGCCCGGGGGGGTTTTTCTAGTAGTAGTACAAATTTTTAGAAACCCCCTTTTTAGTAACCAGTTTTACCCGTAGAACTAAAAAACCCAAAAGTTGTGTGAATTTATTGGGTGTATTCATATTGCTGCTTTTCCATAGCAGGATTTCAAAAACCCCTCAACCCTTTGGGACTTTTTAGAGTCAGTCGAAAAATAAGGGGGCAGAGAGAGGAGGGGCGGGCCCCTTTGGGATGCCCCCAAATTCCCGTTATTATTATTTCGTACTACCAGGGCCAAAAGGGGTATTCTTACCCCAAACCCCCGTATCGAAAAACCCACATGCAAATGGTGGCACCCGGTTTTTGGGCGTGGATTTAAGGGTATTTCGACGTTTTGAAGGGGTTTGTGGGGTCCCCAGGTCCCGAGGTGAAGTCTCAGCCACCTCCAGCTAGCAGCTTACCCTCACCACACCACCCTGTGTACTCCAGCCCGCAAACCTGTTGCAGCCGTTTTTCAAGCTTCCTGGCTTAGTTCGTGTGCTAATTGCTTCAATCTCCGAGGGGTTGACCCAGATTTTGCAATTAAGCCAGTCAATAAGCCAGACTGTGGAACTGAATGCTAGTCAGCCTGCCTCAGCCTACCATCCAGCCTGTCTCCTGTCATCCACCTGCTCCTTCATGCTGTGTGCATCGTTACACGTCTTCCAGTCAGCCATTCTCGTGGGTTAAGCCAGTCAGCCAACCCAGCTTCTAACCCAGCTGAGAGAGAGAAGTAAGCCACGCAAGTTCCTCTGAAGTATTGTTTCATATATCGCTTGTGCTTGGATGCTGGTAAGAGTGGTCTTCATCATCCCTGTGGCATTGTGATTTAGTTAAGCCACCTTACTGGTACTACTACTGAGAGTGTAACGGATGGATATCTAGGTGGGTGGCGATCTTGCTCCTTATAACCCTTTCAGAGATTTTTATGATGTAGGACGTTAGTGCTATAGATCTGTAATTCTTGGCAATTGCTTTACTGCCACCTTTGTGGAAGAGAGGGGTTATGTCCGTTGCTTTTAGTGACTGGGATGACCCCTGTGTCCATGCTCCCACTCCATAGAATGTTGAAGGCACGTGAAAGGGGCTTCTTGCAGTTCTTGATGAACACGGAGTTCCCCGAGTCTGGGCCTGGGGCAGATTGCATGGCCAAATTTATTGCTTTTCTGAAGTGTGTCCTGTGTCATGGATCGCGCAGATTTTAGATTTTGCAGCCGAAGCGGGTAATACATATGCACCCCATATCCATCTTGTGGACGGTAGCGTAAGAGTATATGGATACACAAAAGACCTAGTAACTAGGCCCCAAAAGGGTTTACAGGAGTACATTTGAATTTATATATGTCGTGCCGAATAGGTAAAACTTGCGAATTTGGCTTAAATAGCAACACTTTTCTTGCTGAATAAGACAAATGAAAATTTGTGTATGTAATAATTTCTCAAAAATAATTCTGAGCCTAACGAAAAAATATATTTCACTGTGTTTGTTTATTATTAAATTATTGTAAACTTATCTAAAATATACATATTTAGTTGGATTAGGGTAAATTAAATTGCGCTTGTTATAATAAGGTTGGGTAAGTTTTCTAATTTTTTTTTTGGTACAAAATTATTAATTTTTACATTAACATAAATGAAAAAAAAAAACATTTTTAAATGTATGAGAAAATTTTAGAAATAACTTAATTTTAAATGAGTTCTTGCTAATTGACCAATTTTACCTATTCGGCACGACATACACAAGTTCACTTATCTGTTAAAAACAAATTTAGGAAATTTGCTCAATATATCTGGGATCTTATTTTCACTGAAAATGTATTTTGAAATATCTTTTATTATACTATATATTCCTCAGTAAGTGTTCAATATAGTGACCACAGGGCTGGCCACATACTTTACATTTGGTTTTATCATCATCACAGCAACCGAAATACAAGTACTTTGGCCAGTTTAATATGACCCCTTACAACTGCAATCCTCAGTTTCCTCTCTTCAACAACATGCTTATTTCTGTTTATGCAAGTACAGAGGGACAAACATGTTAAATAAGGCTTGTCAAGAAACAGGACAAGTGTTCCCAAAATAAATAGAGACATGTATTTTTCTTAAACTTCATTAGAATTACACACACTTTCTTTACACTGTTGAATTTACAGGCTAAGAACCGTTATCCTATATTAGCACACATCAAAGCCCAGCCTTGCTTACGTTATACTGGCACCCAGAACACCCACAACACTCAAGGTTGAGTATAAAGACTGCACAGCTCAGGAAATTTATTAAAGTAAGTAGTATCTTCAACCACAGCTTGTTGATATCTCCATACCATTTACAACTTGACACCCAGGTATCTATTTATTCTTAGATATTTACAACAGTTGCAAGGAGAAACGCCCCTAAGCCGCGGACCACTCAAAAATCGAACCCGTTTCCTTGGTGATTATCAAGGCTTATTATTATTTTATTATTATTATTATTATTATTTATTTTTATTATTATTATTTATTATTATTATTATTATTAATATTAGGGGAAAAAGCGCTAAACCTACTTAGGTAATACGGTGTCTGGGAAATGGGAGGCAGTTAGGTTTACTCCAAGGATGACGAAGACAAGTGCAATTCCTTGGAACAAAAACCTCTCACCAATATCAAGAGACCTCTTGGTGAGTCAAGACTCGTCCGAGTAGTCATGCTTATCATGCAGGAGGAGCCACATGTCTAAGGTGCATCCAACAAAATAAGCAGACTCTTGAATGTCACTATCGCCCGGCTCCGGCGACAGTATCTTTGGAAGGTTAATTAATCATCACTATAGGTCTATTGTCACACTTCGCGTCATTACGTACCGGAATGCGATAAAATTAATTAATTCAAAAGCAACACTCAGAAATGTTCAAGATATGTCGAAGTATTTTATCCACAGTGGTACATTACAAACCGTTCTGGAAAAATACCCTGACTTTGCTCACTGTAAATAAAGCATTACCACTTTTGTGTGTGTGTGTGTTACCTAATTAATGTCTGCATAAATAACTCATTAGGGACTGTGACCAGATATAAACATGTAAATAGTTTTTTATCACTAATTTTTTCATCTATCAAAATTCTGCGGCCAGGCCCTTGACCCATTATGTACCTCTTTTGACTACCGCCCACAGGATGGGTATGGGGTGCATAATAAACATATTAAACTAATTTAAATGACGTAAAACTGTGTGGTAGCTACTGCGATACTGTATCCACAGGGAAGGGGGGATCATCAATCTACTTTCTGGCCAGAAAATATTGTTGAACCTGAATACCGACTACATTCGTATTATGTTCATTATTAAATTTAATATGTTCACTTCCAAAATTAAATTATTTTCGTGTATGTTATGCAAAATATACAATACCATATATTGAAAATGACTAATTAATTGATAAAACTTTATCTGGTATCGCAGTAATTTAGGTCAATGAACTAAGAAAGACTAAAATCAGTCTCATAAAGGTGAAGAAATAGCCGAATTAGTTTACTCGTCATAAGGCGTGATAATTAGAACAAAAGCATAGAAGATAAACAAAGGGTTGTAGGAATGTGCAGCATCCTTGTACAGGCAGACGGACAACATTGGCAAGGTGCCTCGTCTCGGCCCGGGTCTTACATAAACATTGCAAAGTGCTCTCATAACAAACTTAAATTATTGCTTAAAATGCATGTCAGTTATAACTGTTATTACTCTTTAATGGAATATTTGTTTATTTCACTAACAACTTCAATGGCACACCGCAAACTTTCTATATTTTAGCAAGAAATACCGTATAATAAGGAGTCTGTGGACGGTTTTAGTGAATGAACGGCAACTAGCTGGGTGGTGGATGTTCAGAACCACAAGCCTACATTTTGTAGTCATTATTTAAAGAGACAGCGCGAGTTATAATAAGTTTGAATTATTAAGGTAACCAAGTATGTGTTATATTTGGTTTCAAAGTGATTGTTAACAATACTTTGGTATACACCATAAATGGTATTTTAAAGGTTTGAGTATAAGAAGTGGCAGCTGGTGAGGTGCGTGAGGGGGGGCAATATAGCAGTGTGTGGCTTTTGATAGTACAACACACGCCTCAACCTCTCACTCGGTACTTACTAAGTCGTAAATCCTCAGTTGCAAAGAAATATTTTTCTACAGTGACAGGTAATATCGTTATTTTGATCTTATTCCACGTGTTTTGTTTTATAAACAAATGTAACGCAAATAGGCAAGACTAGCAGCGCCCACATTATTCATTAAGGCTTAACGTTTCCTGCGACCTGTCAGTGAACACGTACTCACAAAACTAAGATATTATAACGCCAAGCTGGTGTTATTACGCAGAGTCAAGCGTGTGACAACGGAGCAACACGTAGAAACTATGCCTCCGGTGATTCAAGGTTCACCTGTGTCCCTCTCATCCATTACGGAAGAAGGTAAGAGCAGCATAATTGCACGTTGTACAAAATAATAAGATTATAAATAATAAGATATTACAAGGACCCCAATGGAAATAAGTTACTTTGACTTTTTGGGGTTATCCTAGGTATGATAATTGTACTAATGTGTATCTCTACCTAAATAATCTTAGTAAAACATCGTTAATCTACATGCCTAGCTAACGAATAGTCAGGTAAAATGTCCTGATTAATTCTTAGCTTGGTATTTAAAGTCAATCAACTGCACGTAGATCATTAAAACTACAATTCATATTTAGGTACATTAAAATCGAGAAAATATTAATCCTTAAAATACTGATTGATAAATGTGTATATATATATCTAGAGATATACAAACCTTAAGGTGAATGTATATTGCTGAGAAAATATGATGTGCCAGTATTTATAACAGATTGCAAATATTTGGGTAAAGCTTTGTCTTTATAAACAAATTAACGTAAGTACCTGTGTAATTTTCTGGAGAATGCTGAGAAAATTAGCTTAGTATCAAGACAAAGATTATGTATGAAATTACTACCCATTGTGGGAACTTAGATAAAGTTTGTTATAAGCTTGCTGCGTCGTTGTATATTCGACGCAGGTCGAATATACAACGACGCAGCCACCTGATAAATGTTACAGCTTTATCATGCTTTTATACTCATTTTATGGAGGGTAGTCAGACGATTAGAGGCGCAAGGTTACTGTATGTCCTGTACAATAATAATGAAATACAGATTATTTGTATTTGACTTACCTACCTGGAGGACTACCTGAAGGGCTTTCCGGGGATCAACGCCCCCGCGGCCCGGTCCACGCCTCCCGGTGGATCAGGGGCTGATCAACGAGGCTATTGCTGCTGACCGCAAGCAATCCAACGTACGAACCACAGCCCGGCTGATCCGGCACCGTCTTTAGGTATCTGTCCAGCTCCCTCTTGAAGACAACCAGGGGTCTACCGGTAATGCCCCTTATTGCTAGTGGGAGGCTGTTGAACAGTCTTGGGCCCCGGACACTTATTGTACAATAATATGAAATATACATTAGTAATTGCATTTGACTAACATTTATAATAACCGCTACAAACGTTGCAACAAATTGTTTTACAAAAAAAATAACAATCATGAACTAAAGTGTCGATGTCAAATACTGCAAACTTTAACATTCTTGTAAGCTAAATTAATTAATCATCCAGTTGTTATAAGTTAATTTAAGGCTGGCCGAAATGTTCTGCATAATCAGGGGCTTTCTATAAAGTAAGTTAATATTGTCAACTTCCTAAATCAGTTGTATATTAAAGAATAAAAATACACAGTACCGTGACTGGAACAATATACAGATAACTCGCACACAGGAAACAGCAGCGTACCACGACGTTACGGTCCGACTTGAACCATTTAGTGTGACTGTAAATGGTCCAAGTCGGACCGAAACGTCGTCGTAAGCTCCTCTCTTCTATGTGCTGGTTATTTGTGTACAGTTGTATATTGTACTCTGTAGAATTAAAACGTTATTATTATTATTTGCAAAGATGTCAGTGGATACCGTTCATATTCCTTTGATGAGTTTCCAGAGTTTTACTACTCCCGGAGCTCGGCCTTGGTCCAGGCTTGTTTTGTGCAAACATAATAAAAAGTATAACTAGGTCAAAAATCTTCAAAAGTTGAACATTTATAATGTTATGTGAATGAAATCAGAATGTGGACCTACCTTAACGGCCTGGGTAAAAAAAAATAATTAGCGACAAATGTTCGGTGACCGTACAAAAATATGTTGGCATATAAATTCTGAGAACACCAGAGAATTTCAGTATATAGAAATATTGAAGTTGTATCGGTAAGCAGCAGAAGCAAGGGCCCCCTGTCTTAGGTTAAAATAATTGAGGAACCTATAAATTAAGTAATAATAATAATAATTTGGAATTTTGCTATTCCGAGGGTTGTTTTTCCAAGAAATTCACAAGCGTTCGCACACAAGCCATAAATGCCACAATAATGAATGAAGCGAAAAACCAATAATAACATCGTGATCATCAGGATCATACACTCTGGAAGAGATGTGCCTTCAACTGTGACTTGACAGCATGAAGAGAGTCCTGACACTGGCACCAGTGCACAAGTTAGGAAGACTATATAAAAAAGGCTATTTCTGTTAATAATTTATCACTAACAACACGAGGCTCAATCAGTCTTCAAGAGTCAACGACAACGTAGAAAATTCCCAGCCAGATATAAAAATGTCAAAGATGCTTGTCTTCATTAAACTTAATGTCTTTAAATGTTAATAAACAGTTTAAATTCAGTTCTTGCTTGTTAGGAGTTAACGCAGAACTTGAACATACCAGATAAGAAAGAACTTAAGAGTTCTGGTAAACAGAAATCCGAAACCAAGGCAGCAGTGCAATCAGTATTTACAATGAGGCTAATAGTGCCTTGTTTTTATCAATAATGGTTATAATCATAACCATAATTTTTAAAAAGGTAGATCGGTAAGCCAGTGGAAGCCTCGGTCAGATGACCAAAGCTCCAGCTGTGGGTCTTCATATAACCAAGACCAACGTCAGGAAAACACTTGTCCTGTTTCCCGACAAGTATATACCCACCTAAGCCTTGGTTTCTAGATTCATATCTCGAATTATGAATAACGGGAGACCCAAGGGGTCTCATTTATCGTCTTCATATTACATATAAATATAAACATTTGGAAAATGAAGAAAATGACAACGAAGGTAATCACATTGATCCGGATTTTTTTATTTTTTCCTAGAAAAACAAAATGAGTGTTGAACCAACACTCATAAAAGTCGTAGAATGAGGGGGAATGTGATTAGGTGTATAAATGAACGATAGACATAAATCAGTGGTATATAAATAAGGTGTTCATTTTATCTTAGCACAGAACTCGAAACAAAATTCTTGATGGATGAATTCAGACTTTAGAAAGCTTGTGTGTGTGTGTGTGTTGTGTGTGTGTGTGTGTGTGTGTGTGTGTGTGGCCTGTGTGCGTTTGTGTGTGGGAATATCAGTGAGGTGGCTCTACTGTGATTCGATATTGTGACAATGCTACACAATCATTTTATGTATTTGAAGTAACCCACCGGTCTATACGCGCTATTGATTGCACACAAGCAGTTGCTTCTGGTTCATTCCTGCAATAGCGCCAGTGGCACTACTCAAACTTTATTTTTTTTTTCAAAATGCAACTTCTTCGTGTTATTAAAAATTAGGCGGCCATAAGAAACTCAGATAATTTTGTTATGCCTTTCCGTGGTTTCAGATACAAGCATGTTTACAGTCATGCTGAAATTGTATAGACTCGGTACTTAAGCAACATTAACGATGATACGTCACAAATTCTGAAAAAATATGATCCCCAACACTCAAACAAAAAGGGGGGGTAGTTCTTTCTGTCTTTTTTTTTTTTATGTCTTCCCTCACTTGGACATGCATGGGATTGAGCTAACCACTGGGAGTTTAGATACTGTAATCTCACGTTATTTGTGTTGTATTATAATACTGTGAAGAATGGTTTAAAGAAATAAAGATGATCAATGTAACAATTATAAAGCACTTGCGAAATACTCAATCATCAGTATAATAATGCAGAGGATGATGCTCCGCTATGTCACTCACTAGTGGAATAACCTTGGTATAAATACGACAAGGTTGGTTTAGAAAGACACGTAAGCAAACCACTTATACATATTGATTAGAAAACGTTTTCGGTCTGGGACCTTGATCACTTCTAACTTACAGAACGAACGAGCCGAACGAATGTTCAGGTAAGATCCCAAATGGGATTGCGCGGGGAAGACGGGGACAGACGAAGAATAGTGCTGGACGAGGAGTGTTCTTAGTCGTCTAAGAAATTGAGCCAGGGATTAACCCAGCAGCGAAGGCGATCGTGGGACTGATATTGAGAAGAGAATTTCAGGCTCTCTGTTAGGCTCCAGTGGGGGAGCGAGGAGGAAGGGTTTGGTAGGTAAGAACTTAGGCAACAGTTAGGCAACTTTATTCCGAACGTTTCGCATACTCAGTAGCCCGAAAACTTGGCGATTGTTCTCAGTTAGTTCCGGACTATGGAACTGAACTTCTCAGGCCGAGGGGGACTGACAACCTCAAATTCTACGCTTTTAAGGTTGTGGACTGATTACATCTTCTTCTCTTACTGTTTTCCTGCCTACCTTTCACTGTTTCGAATGAATTAAAGCCTACTGTGTAGGCGACGAAGCGTTTTCGGAATTAATGTTGCATAATGTTGCTATGTGTCTTACCTACCAACTGTCGGTATTGTATACCATTTTGATGTTCATCTTGTCAGACACTGCAAAACAAGGCATCTTGATTACAGAGAAAAACACCTTGGAAAACTTTTCAAGTGAGAATTGTTGGTTCTGAGAGGGACCTGACCTTCTCAGTGGCTTACATTCTCACTACTACTTCTTACTCTGTACCTCTCCTTCCGACGTATTTAAGTCTCCCGCACTGTGCTTGATCTTCAGTTGTGCCTGACTATGAGAAAACTGAACTTCTCACAGGCCGAGCGGACTGAAACCTCAAATTTACGACTTTAAGGGTGATTGGACTGATTACATTCGTCTTCTCTATGTTCATGCCTCTTTCTGTATTCGACTGAAGAGCCTACTGTGTAGGCGAAACGTTTCGGAATATGTTGCCTAAACAGTTGCCTATTGTCTTACCTACAACCTGTCGGTAGTGAATACCATTTTGATGTTCATCTTGCAGGACACTGCGAAACACATGGCACTTGTTACACGAAACACCTTTGCGACAAACTTTTCACGTGAGAATTGTTGGATCTGAGAGGAGGGACCTGACCTTTCAGTGGCTACAATTTCTCACTTACTACTGTTGTTAGGGTAAGGACACATATGAACAGTTAGCCCATTAGGACTATTTACTACTACTACTACTACTACTACCCCTGCACCTCTCCTTCCGACAGTATTTACAGGTCTCCGCACTGTCGCTGGATCT